TTTCGTCTGCAGCCCCCTGACCTGTGGCCAGCACTGAGGGGAGGGGCCTGCCCTGGCCGGCGGTTCCCTCGGGAATGCCCACCTGGACTGTCCCCTCCACCGCGCGCATCTTCGGCCCGGAGAAAACTTTGCTAGTGGGCCCTCTGTGCTCTCACGTCCTGGAGACTCCCCGTGGCTGGGAGAGGGGCGTCCTACTCCAGGCCCGTCTGCAGCCCCCTGACCTGTGGCCAGCACTGAGGGGAGGGGCCTGCCCTGGCCGGCGGTTCCCTCGGGAATGCCCACCTGGACTGTCCCCTCCACCGCGCGCATCTTCGGCCCGGAGAAAACTTTGCTAGTGGGCCCTCTGTGCTCTCACGTCCTGGAGACTCCCCGTGGCTGGGAGAGGGGCGTCCTACTCCAGGCCTGGTGACACGTCCGTCACCCCCACCCCCACTCCTGTGTCCCTGCTGCTGGGGACAGATGGTCGGGGGTGAGGTCCCTCCCTTTCTCTTTCACTCCCGGCCCCTTGTACTGGGGCTACTGGGAGTTGCTATGGCCCTGGGGAGATGCCGAGTTTGTTTGTGTCCATTCACTGGGGGTGTAAATAGAGGGCCCAGAGTGCTGGGCTTTAGCTCCCCAGAACTAGCAGCCAGGCTCAGACAATGCCTGTTCTTTCTCTCCATAGAGGAACAGATTCTGAGACTTTTTTCAGAGCTGGAGAGGAACCCAGGTGTCCTGCTTCCTTTGTCTTCATGCTCTTGACATGTTTCTTCAAGAGGACAGAAACTGGGCAGGCAGGGTTTGGTCGGCCTTTGTGGAAATGATGGCCGGGCAGGGGATCAGGGTCTCTCCAGAGAGCAGGGACTCCTAGGTCCGCTGTCTGGGCCTGGCCTCTGGTGGGTGTCTGCGTGGCCTGAGTTAGCCTGTCTGAGGGATGGCGAGTCTTGGGGACTGGGTGGGGACCCTGCCCTGAGAGGCCTGGACCGGGCTGGCATGGGAATGCAGCCTGTGCAATACTGTGGTGTGGGTGATCGCCAGAGCCCAGGCACCCTGGTCCTGCCTGGGGCTGCGGGCTTCCAGCCCTTGGCAGGCATGTGGGGGCGAGCAGAGGGTGAAAGCCCACTAGGCGGGCACACACCAGCTTTCACTTCTGACACCTTGAGGGACTGCAAAGTCTGGGCCCCTCTGGGCCCCTCTTTTGCCCACATGGTGTGAAGGGACCCCTGGGGAGAGAATTAAATGACACATGTTGGCACAAGATCTTCCTTTGTCTTCTCCCCCCAAGGAACAAAATAGGTTTTTATAATCTAAATGGGGAGAGGACTCAGATACAGTTGGTATAGCTACCTTTGCAAGTTTTGGGGACCTGAGAAAAGTGAGGCTAGAGCCTTTGGGGGGTTGCCTCAGTTTCCCCCATTTTCCAGTGGGGAGGAAAATAATAAGGTGGCATGGGTACCTAGCTCCTGTCCAGCTGTGAATTTATCTCTTCCAGTTAGGAAATAGTGAGCCATGCCCAGACACAGGACAGAGCTCTCCTCTGAGTACTGGCTGTCCCCTGGGCTGGGCCCAGCCCCTTGCCTCCCTTCAGCCCCTGTGTTCCATTTGTAAACTGGGGTCCAGTGAGGACTGGGGGGTTGGGTTTCTGGTGTGGAGGCTGGACTTTCCTTCTGGTGGGTGGGTGTGGGTGTGGGGTCAGCTGATAAGGCCTGGCCGTTGGTGGGGGGCAGAAGTGCCAACTGGTTATCTGGTGGGCGGCACCCAACACCCCCTTTTATCTCTCCCCTGCCCTTCTGAGACCCTGGGAGTGGAGGAAGGGAAGATTTCCCCAAACCCCCACGTCTTCCTTCTCCATCCTAGTTCTGCAGAGCAATAAAGGGTCAGGTAGAAATAGGACAGGATATGGGAATCAGGATGTCTGGGCTCTTGGTAAGTCCTTTCAGCCCTGTGTTCCCTGTAAAATGGGAGTATTACTGTTTGCCTTGGTTCCTGTCAGAGTGGTTGTTGGGAGTTTATAAAAACTTCCACTGTCTGGATATTTATTCAGTGGTATTGACATTTCAGGTCCTTTTCTATTATCTTTGGCTCAGCTAAATGAAAAGTAAGGTCTTAAGTATGATCTGAGTTTAGGGTTCAGAACCTGGTTTCTTTCTTATCGAGGCTGGAGCCAGATTTAGGAGCAGCCGTCTCCCTGGCCTGCCACATTTTCGTTACCACTTCAGGGGCGCCTAAGAGATCAGTGCCTGTCCGGGTAGTTTAGCAGGCTTCCAGAGAGCTCCAGAAGGTTTAGGGGACTCTGCCTTTCTCTCTTTCAGGTTGTTCCTCAAAGTCATTCAAGCTGTACTCGCCGAAGGAGCCCCCGAACGGCAACGCCTTCCCCCCATTTCATCCAGGCACCATGCTGGATCGGGATGTGGGGTGAGTCCTTGCCGACTTCCTGTCCCTTCAGATGGTAGCCCGCCTGGAAAGGGCAGGGGTGACCCCCCCCATACTTCCTGTCTTCTACCTATTCTCACAGCCTCTTCCCTTATACAGCCCAACTCCCATGTACCCGCCTACCTACTTGGAGCCTGGGATTGGGTAAGTGGGGTGCAGGCGGGAGGGAAGAGCTTTCCAGTGCATGGTGAAGGCAGGAATCAGGATTGGGGGAGTAGGCCCTGCCCCTCCTGCCCACTCTTCTCTTCCCTAGGAGGCACACGCCATATGGCAACCAAACTGACTATAGAATATTTGAGCTTAACAAACGGCTTCAGAACTGGACAGAGGTATGGCCAAGGGAAAAGAGGCTGGGAAGGGGAGTTGCGTTTGGGCAGCCCAGGGGATATTCTGGGCACTTGCTCACCTGTCCCTGTCTCCCTAGGAGTGTGACAATCTCTGGTGGGATGCTTTCACAACAGAGTTCTTTGAGGACGATGCCATGTTGACCATCACTTTCTGCCTGGAGGACGGACCAAAGAGATACAGTGAGTGTGGTCCTGCCTTCGGATGGCTAGCATCTGCACCTCTGAGGCTCTGAGGTCTGGACGCTAGTCTAGGAGTACCAACTGAGTGATCTGTCTTGGCAGGGGAGGCATCTGCCTGGTCCCCTCTACGTTCCTTGGTCCTTAAGAGCTCATCCTGTCTCTACAGCCATCGGCCGGACCCTGATTCCACGCTATTTCCGCAGCATTTTTGAGGGGGGTGCTACAGAGCTCTACTATGTGCTTAAGCACCCCAAGGAGGCCTTCCACAGCAACTTCGTGTCCCTTGACTGTGACCAGGGCAGCATGGTGACCCAGCATGGCAAACCCATGTTCACCCAGGTCAGCCACCCGGCATATGTGGAACACGGGGTGCCTGGGCTTGATTCCCTCTCTCTCAGCATATACTCGTAGCTCACCCAGGCAGGCGTAATGGGAAATAGCAACAACAAGAGGGGAAGGCAGACACAGTGACGCATTAAACAAGAATTTAGTGGGTTTGAAAATGACAGTTTTCTGTGTCCCGAGTGGTACAGTGGACAAGAGCTGCCCTCATAGCAGATGGTGTCACCGGCTACATGGGGGAAAGATGGGTCTGTTCAACTTTTCTGCTCTGTGTGTCCACATGTGCAAGGGCCAGGAACCACAGATATGGGGGGCACCCCGATTTATGTGCGGGCAGCTGAAATACACACAGTGGGAGAGTTGTGGGCAAACTGGAGAACTGTAGCAGGCAGTAGGCACACATTTAGGTTTGGGGGGCAGGTCAGGTTGAGTCAAGCCTGTCCCCAGGTGTGTGTGGAGGGCCGGCTATACCTGGAGTTCATGTTTGATGACATGATGCGGATAAAGACGTGGCACTTCAGCATCCGGCAGCACCGAGAGCTCATCCCCCGGAGCATCCTAGCCATGCATGTAAGCTGCGGGCAAATTGTGGTGCAGGGGGAGGCGGGCAGGGAGAAGGGCAGGACAAGGCCTAGCATCCCTGGTGTGCACGAAGGGTAGGGCTGTCTGCATCTCATCCCTCTGCTCTCTCCGGGTCAGAAAGCCTGTGCAGCCCAGATACTAGAGTTCTCATCTCCTCCTCTGCAGGCCCAGGACCCCCAGATGTTGGATCAGCTTTCCAAAAACATTACCCGGTGTGGGCTGTCCAATTCTACTCTTAACTACCTCCGAGTGAGTCTCTGCCACCTGCTGCCGTCCCCTCCCTTGTGGTCTCCCCCCATGGCTCCCTCACAGCCACTGACTCTTCTGCCCCCCCAGCTGTGTGTGATCCTCGAGCCCATGCAGGAGCTCATGTCCCGCCACAAGACCTACAGCCTCAGCCCGCGAGACTGCCTCAAGACCTGCCTTTTCCAGAAGTGGCAGCGCATGGTGGCGCCCCCCGGTGAGTGGGCCTTCCCAGGGCCGGGCCTGGATCTCTGGAGGTCTCTCCGCTCCCTGCTCTTGGGTCTACGAATTAGAACCGAGTAGGTTCAGTCCCAGTGGCTAGCATGGGAAATGGAGCCCGGGCACTCTTACCACCTGAGCTTCTCTCTCTGCACAGCGGAACCCACACGGCAGCAGCCCAGCAAACGGCGGAAACGGAAGATGTCGGGGGGCAGCACCATGAGCTCTGGGGGCGGCAATGCCAACAACAGCAACAGCAAGAAGAAGAGCCCAGCCAGCACCTTCGCCCTCTCCAGCCAGGTACCTGTAAGCATCTCGGCTTTCTTCTCTCTTCTGGGCTGCCCCGCCACTCGCCCCTGACCCCAGTCCGGCTGAGCTCATTAGCAGGCATAGAAGCAGAGCCAGTTTCCCTGTGCACTCTGCCCGCACACGCTGACTCCTTCCTCTGAGGAAAGGTCCCAGCAGGCACACACTCAGCGTAGGCACATAGAGTGTACGAGGCCAGACAGCCAGAGAACAGACAGGTGCTCGGGGCGACTGCCCGGGGCACACTCACACAGTGTGAAACACGGGAAACACAGCCTCACGCTGATAGAGGGACGCGCAGCCTTGATTGCTCGCAGATGTGTAACATGCACAGGCGCACATGCACACCCACGCTTCCCTCCCCTGTTTTTGAACTGCTCCCTCTTCTTCACACGTGGATGGAAGGTTAGCCCCTGAAGCTTGGGGAAGGGGGACTAGGGAGCTAGGGGTGTAGAGTGGAGTTTCTCCCTGGAGTCGGCGAACCTGGGCTACAGGCTGTGATGCTCTGGTGTCCTTCAGCAGCAAAGAGGGGTGGGAGTGTTGGTTTCCGGGGTGGGCTGGGGCTCTGGGCTGGGCGAGCCCCTGCCCCGATTATGTTTGGGGACCTCCACCACTCTCAGGATGTGATGGTGGTGGGGGAGCCCACCCTGATGGGCGGGGAGTTCGGGGACGAGGACGAGAGGCTCATCACCCGGCTGGAGAACACGCAGTTTGACGCGGCCAACGGCATTGACGACGAGGACAGCTTTAACAACTCCCCCGCACTGGGCGCCAACAGCCCGTGGAACAGCAAGCCCCCGTCCAGCCAGGAGAGCAAATCGGAGAACCCCACGTCACAGGCCTCCCAGTAAGGCTGTTGCGGCCAACTGGCCGCCCAGCGCTCTGCCTGCTGCCCCACCCCTCACGCCCTCGGGAGCAGAAGACAGGGAGAGACTGAGCATCTGAGACTGGCAGCCTCCGTCCCCCTTCAGGGAGGAACTGGACTCGCTGGGGGCAGGTGCCGAGACGCCCCCGATGGCCTGGGCCTGGCCCCTGTGGAGCCTTTGGGGGAGGGGCCTCGTGTGGATGCCTGTGTGGACCCTGGACTCAGAGTTGTCCGACCACCTCACCCCAGGGCATTGCTTCCATCCTCTCCCAGGTTCTGGGTCCCCCTCCCTGACTTACCCCTTAAGCCCGGGGTTTTCTGTACCCACAGTCCTTAGGGTCTTAAAGTTATGGGGCTGGATTGAACCCCTCTCCCCTGGGTAGCCCATAAGAGAGGGGGAAACTTCTAGGCTCCTCCCTTCTGCCATTTGTCCCAGCTCCAAGTTTTAAAAAAAATAATATTATTAAAAACGTAAGTTTAAAAATTTTTCATTCATGGTTCCCCTCTTGCCCCCTCTTAAGTTCAGCTACCTCCCTCCTCCTGGCAGATGGGGTGCCTAGGGCTGGGGTGGGGTGAAAGAGAGTGGGGTATATGCATACTATTTTATACAGTTGGAGAGCTTTAGACCAAGGAGATACTTCGCCATCTTTCTTCCCAGTTCCTCTGGAGTAGGGGAGGCATGCCCTGGGGTTCACACCCTTTTGACCACCCCTGCTGTTGTCTCTGCCTCCCCTTCAGTCCCACCCTCCAGGTCTGGGGCCTGCCCGCCCTCTCTCCCAGTGCTGTGACTCCCTCTGTCCCCTGTGGTGTGTATATTCTGAGTCCACTAGAGCAGCTGTCTTGGGGGGAGGCTCCTTCCCTCAGGGCAGGTGGCGGGGTGGCTTCACCTGTCACTATTTCTGTTTTGTCTCAGTTGGGCAGGCCCGGAGGGGGGAGAGGCTCATCCACTCCCCTCCAAACCCTCTGCCCCCAGCCCCTCAAACTGCAGATGTGGCCCCAGCCTCCCCTCAGAGGGGAAGGAGCCCCTGGGGATGCCCCAGCTCTGAGCCCCCCCGGGGAGAGAGGTCTCACCCCTGGCTGAGGTAGGGGGGCTTCCTCTCCCAGTGTCCATGCCCTGTAGCAGGGAGAAGACAGCCGCACCTCTGCTCCATCTCCCAGATGGCCTTGGAGGTTGGGGTTGGAGCAGGGTTCCCTGTGGCCCCTCTCAGGAAGTGTCAGTGCCACCGCCTCCACTGCCCTCTGGGCGTGGGGTCCCCTACACCCTGCTTTCCCACTCCAGCCCCTCCCCCAGCAGAGTCAGGAGTGGAGAGGGGTGAGGAAGGTGGATGTCCCACCCCAATTGTAACGCCTTTTTTGGGGGGGGCCATTTGAGTCATGTATGGTACTGTCAATAAAGAGACTTTTTGGTTTGAGAGCGTCCTGGTTGGTCATTGATGCCTAGTTCCAGGCAGTCAGTGGGCCCCAGCAGTTCTGAGACCAGGCCCTAGTGGACAGGTTTCCTCCCTCGTGGCTCTGCCCCTTCCCTGGGTCATGCTGGTCCTTCCTCTAGACCCCAGATCTGTCCCCAGCTGTCCCATCTGTCTCTTAGGACTTGGTCTTTCCCACCCTATCCCCTTGGACAGTTATCCACAGCTGTTAGGTTGCCAGACAGACGGGTAGTCCTGATGCAGGGTTCCTGGGGAAGTCCCTGTGGGCTGCTGGGGGAGGGTCTTTGCAGAGGAGTGGCGTTGCCCTGAAGGGTCCTGGCAGTCATTGCAAGAAGCGTCTTCCTCTTTATGTGAGGTTTCTACCCCTACCCAGCCTTAGCCTCCAGCCCAGCTGAGATCTAAACTAGTCTCCTAATGCCAAGGTCCCTGGGCAGGGGCAAGAGCAGCAGGGGAGTCTCCTGCTGACTTTGGGGAAGGGGCACTGAGGGATGAGGACACCTCACCTTCATTTGAAGATGGAAATCAGACCCCTTCGAAGACTTTTCCAGGTAGCTCATTCCATTAAGTCTCTCCTATTCTCGGAAGGCTGTTGCCCTGATGCAGAGACCTGGCTGTAGGTGGAGTTGGAGTCTGAGCATCCAGAAAGCCCCCAGATCATTACCCCTCATTTTCATCCCAGGCAGGGAATCTGAGGCCTCAGACCATCTCACTAAAGTCTCCCTGGGTCTGAAGTAAAACTTGATAGACCCACGCCTCTGCCTCGCCTTCCCAGCTGGCGAGAAGATACCAGAGAACTGTCCACTCCCCAGCCGCCTGCCTTGCTAGTTTAAGGTCCCAAGTTCAATTCCCAGTACCAAAAAAAAAAGCATGCACAGTGTATGAAGGAGTCTGTGTGTATGGTTGTTAAAGTGGTGTGTATATGAGTAAGGGAGTGCATACACGGGTCTGAGTGTAAGGGCATATATACATGTGTGAGTAACGGAGTGATACATGGGCATGTGAGTGTAAGATATACGTGTGACTGAGTGTAAGGGAAGGTGTATGGGTGTGTGGCTGAGTGTAAGGGAGCACTTGCATTCATCATTCATTCAGCTGGTACTCACTGAGCCCGCCGATATCTGCTGCTGCGTGGAAGCAGGATGTGCATCCTGAGGTTGCTGGGACACCTGTGTGATAGGGTTGGAGGTTTCCAGGTTTACATCCTGTGTGTGTGTGTGTGTGTGTGTGTGTGTGGCAGGGCCTGGGGAGGAGGAGCCTCTGGGGTGAGGACTGGAGACCTCCAAGCATGCTGCAAAAAACCTGCCTCTGCCTGACTGGATCCCAGCCAGGGCCCCTGAACCTGCAGAGGCAGGGGCTGAGCACCCACCCCGTACCTCTGTCCCTTCCACAGCCTCCAGTTCAGCCTGAGCAGTTTCCTAGCCTGGTCTAATCTTGCCCTTTTCTAGGGCCTTTGTCTAGTCCTACAACCTACAGCTCCTTTAGCCACAGCTAACTGATTTTCTTTTGTCTCTTTCCTTTTTTTTTTCTTGTTTCCCTTTTCTTCCTTTCTTGCTTCCTTCCTTCTTCCCTACCTCCCTCTCTCCCATTCTTCCTTCTTTTTTCTTTTGAGATGGGGTCTCACTATGTAGTTCAGCCTGGCCTTGAACTCACTAGGGAGCCCAGGCTGGCCTTGAACTCAGTGATCCTTCTGCCTCAGCCTCCTGAGTGCTAGGATTACAGGTGTGCATCATCATGCCTGGCAGGCCAGATTTTATTTTATTTTTTGGTACCAGGGATCAAACACTAGATCTGGCTTTCGGGCAGGTGACAGAACCACTAAGCTAAATCCCTGGCCCAAGGCCAGATCTTTAAAAAGTTGGTTAAAAAGTTGGCCTAGCTTCCTAGACCCACACTGTATACCATGGTCTGCGACTTTCACTCTATGGCCATGTTCCCATTTTCTCAGCAATTCCCTCTAGGCCTCTGTCCACTCCTCTGCTGAAGTGGGCATAGGAAATGGGTGGGAGACTGGGCACCCCGCAGTTCTTAGCCAAGTGGGAATGAAGTCAGCCAGTTCCTTCAGGAACCTTTTCTGGCATCAGGAGGAACCATCTTCCCAGGGACTCCAGGGCCCTTTTCCCAAGACAGCTAAACTGGACCACTCCCATCCCTGGGCACAGCTGTTACTAGCTCAGCACCCCGAGAGGAGCCTGCAGAAAAGCCTGTCGCCCCTATCAAGTAAGACGCATGGTGGAGATGGGCTTCCTGTCTGTCTCTTTGCTTTAAGGACCTCAGGTACACAGAGCTAGATTGATCATGACCTTGGTTTGTGACACCACGCCTGCATGCCTTTTTTTACTTAGGATACTGTCAACAGAAATCATCACTAAGCAAACTAGGGCCAGCTAGTGCTCCGTGGATCATGGTGGGAGCTGCTAGCATTGCATGCTTCACAAACCTTGAGAAAACAATCCAAAAATTCATTTGGAACAACAAGAAACCTAGAATAGCAAAAGCAATTCTAGGAAATAAAGACAAGGTAGGGGCTATTACAATACCCAACTTGAAACTATACTACAAAGTTACTGAGATAATGAAAAAAAAAAAAAAAACAGCAGGATACTGTCAAAGAAACAGACCTGAAGACCAGTGGAACTGATTATATGATGCAGAAACAACCCCAGACATACTCAGCCACCTCATCTTTGACAAAGGAGCCAAACACCCTCACTGGAGGAAAGATATCCTCTTTTTTTTCTCCCCCCGGCTTTTTTTCTCACTATGTAGCTTAGGCTGATCTCGAACTTGCAGTGATCCTCCTGCCTCAGCCTCCTGAGTGCTGGGATTACAGGTGTGCAAGAGCATGCCCAGCTAAACTGGGTTTCAACTTGCCAAAGATTAAAACTAGACCTATATCTCTCATTATGCACTAAATTAAAATTGAAATGGATTAAAGATCTAAATATTAGGCCTGGGATTTGGCTCCATGGTTTTGCCACCTGCCTCATAAGCACAAGGGCCCAAGTTCAATTCCTGGTACAAAAAAAAAAAAAAAAAAATCTAAATATTAAAACAAAGACTAAACCAGCTGGAAGACAGATTAGGTAGAACTCTTGAAGACACTGGCATAGGAAAAGATTTTATGAGCAAAACCTCAGTTGCCTGTGATCTAGCACAATCAACAAGTGGATGTCTTCTTATTAAAAAGCTTCTGCACAGCAAAAGAAATGACAAACAGTGTGAAGAGACAACCCACAATGTGGGGAAAATTTTTCACCCGCTCTTCACACAAAGGTCTACTATTTCGAATATATAAAGAACTTAAAAATATCAGACCTCCCAAATTTAAAGACCCAATCCAAAAACAGGGATCTGAAATGAACAGACATTTCTCAGACAAAGAAGCAGAAATAACAAATAAACATATGAAAAAGTGTTCAACATCACTGGTCATTTGAGAGATGCAAATGAAAACAACACTGAGATTCCACCTCACGCCAGAAAGAGTGGCTGCTGTCATGAAATCAACTAATAACTAATGCTGGCTGGGCTGTGGGGAAAGAGGAAGCCTGCTCCACTGCTGGTGGGAGTGCAGACTGGTGCAACCACTGTGGAAATCAGCATGGAGATACCTCAAAGAACTAGGATTGGAGGTCCATTTGACTCAACTATTCCCCTGCTGGGTATCTTCCCCAAAGAATTAAATACCATACCACAGCTATATATGTGCGTCCATGTTCATAGTAGTACAATTTGTGATAGCTAAAACTTGGAAGCAGTCCAACTGCCCATGAACAGAAGACTGGTTAAAGAAAATGTGGTTTTTAAAAATAAAATGGAGCACTACTCATCCATAAAGAATAAGAAACTAGAAGCATTTATAGCTAAATGGATGCACATTGAGGTGCTACCTTAAGTGAAATAAATAGGACACATGTATAAATACCAGATAGTTTCTCTACTGTGAGAAACAAGTATAAATCAGGATTAAAAGGTATAATAGATAACATGAAATAGGAAAAAAGGTGCAAATGGGAAGGGGAATTGGGAGGGATAGGGTAAAAAAAGAAGGGAGTGGAATTAATGTGAGAAAAAAAATGGAAACAAAGTTTTTGTAGATAGGGAGTGGTGGAGGGGTTCAAGGGAGAGCAGAGGAATGGGGAAAAAATAAGGACCAAGATGGATTACGTAAAGGTGAGACTTTCCAATGATGAATGTCATTATATTGTGCACCTTAAATGTATCGATAAAATTAATTTTTAAAAAAGATCCTAACTATTCATAACACACACACACAAGAATGGTCAATTTGATTCCATATAAACTTAGGACTTTGATATATGTTTGTATGTATAAATGAAAACTAAACCAAATCCCAGAACAAAATTAAAAAGTAGATACACTAAGGCTGGGGATGTAGCCCAGTGGTGCTGCACCTGCCTGGCAAGAGCAAGGTCCTGAGTTCAATCCCTGGTTCCAAAAAAATAAATAAATAAGGGCCAGGGATTTAGCTCAGTGGTTCTGCAGCCTGCCTCAGAAGCACAAGGTCCCGAGTTTGATCCCTGGTACCAAAAAAACAAATAAAAAGGAGCAGGGGGATTTAGCTCAGTGGTTCTGCTGCCTGCTTTGCAAGTCCTGGGTACTCCCCCCAAATAAATAAATAAAATAAAAAGTAGATACACTAGAAAGTATATTTGTAGCAAATATGATAGAGTTAATATCTTTTTATATAACTAATTCAGGCAAAACAAGTTTAACAGAATTATTTTTGTGGGGAAGAGGTGAGTCAGGAGATCACTATGTAGTTCAGGCTGACCTTGAACTCACTATGTTGCCCAGGCTGGTCTCAAAGTTGCTTTGATCCTCCTGCCTCAGCCTCCCAAGTGCTGGGGTTACAGCTGAGTACACCACGCCTGGTCAAAACAAATTTATTTTCAGAAAGACCTCTCAATACATCAGTAGCACAATTTCTGAGGAGGAAGCGGTGGATTAGCATACTAGGTGG